TTCTCCCTTCCCTAATGGGCATTACTTACACTCTGTTTGGGGAAAAGGGCACAAAATAAATGATAGCGTAATGACGGATTTTAATACAGTTGTTGTAAGCGTTGTAGTAAAGAAGCACAGGTGCTAAAATGAGGTTTCACTGAGAGAATGCTATGACGTGCTCCAGAAAGGGGAAGAACACTGTCCTGGAAATACTCTCTTGTAAAGGTGACATTTGGGTTGAGCCCTGTAACGTGGGGAAGATTCCAGAATTTCTGAGTAGAAGAGGTTTAGGTTTGGCAAGCTGGCAGGGATGAAGGTTTGTTTTGGAGCCATGTTGCTAGGAAGCCCATCTTTACTCTTAGATTGCACTGTGGGGGTGGATTTTGGGAGGTTGTCTTGGGATTCACACTATGAAAGGGTAAGCAGGAATGAATCTGTGGAGAGGGGAAGAGAGCATGTGCAGTGGCTACAGGTGGGACTAAGTGCAGGTAGGTAAGGGCTGTGTGGTTGGAAGATAGGACAAGGGCCTGAGGCACGGCTGGGACTGGTGAGAACAGCAGAGGCCAGGTCACACGGGACATGATTAAGGACCATGTATGCCGCTTTCCAGACTGTTCTTTCTGTGGGGATAAAGACCCTCAGAGAATGGGACTTGACTGACAGCTCTCAAGCTGGGTAGGACCTGATCATTTTCACATTTCAGAAGTCCCTCCTGCCACTTTGGGAGAATGAACAGGAGTAAGGGTAGATGCCAGAGACAAGTTAAACAGCTCTTTCACCAGGTTTACAGAGAAATGATGCTAGCTTAGATGGGATTGGTCATCACAGTGATAGAGGAAAATAGACAAGCGTGAAAGATATTTGCACAGACAAGTATGCAAACACCGTAGAGTGCAACTAAATAGGCCAGGGGGATTTGGAAAGCTTCATAGAAGTGACATCAGGTTAATCTTGAAGGATGAAAACAAATTCCTGTAGTAGTGCAGTCCATCTTTGAGATTCAGCTGCTAAAATATGTAAATTATAAATGATTATTACCTTCTTTTAGTATTCCTTTCAGATTCTCTACGAAATATCATATAACTTGTGTTCTTAGTTCTCTAACAGTGTCACTGTATGTGTTAGAATATAATAAATCTGCGTTTCCTGAAAACCACTTTACATTTTATCCTTGTTAATTCAGACCGATCCCCTCTTCATCAATACCCACTCAAATCCAAGTACATTAGTGAGAATGTATTTGGGGACATTTAAAATTTTTCCCACTTTCTATTAAATCCTTAGCCCAGGTTAAATCTCTATAGCAATTTGGCATGTGTCTTTGCACACTCTTAATTTTTGCTTGTTTCTGCCCTAGAAGAATTATAATTAAATTGATTTAAGTATTTTGGAAATAATTTTAAGGCCTAAAATACTTTAAATGTTCTTGGTTCTCTTTTAGTTCCAAAGGTGAATATGCTTCAATCTAGAGATTGCCTAGGCTGAGGGCTATTAGATGTCGAAGAATATTAGTTGGCATTTATAACATTTCCAATCTGCAGCCAGAGGAATGAACTGTGTACACTTTTCAAATCAAGAAGAATTTGAACTATTACCTTATATTATTTTTTTATTATTTCATACATTACTGATAGCTGCTACAGGGCTTGTGCTACCCAGTCCTTCCTTAGCAATCACTCAGCTTTTCTTTAGTAATTAATATTTTCATTTCCCATATGCAGAGGATGCCTGAAGGAAATTTTTTCTCTGGAAACAAAGTCTGCATAGTGCTTTAGTATGGCACAATTTATTTAGTAATTCATCTTTGCTATTTATTTTTTTATTAAATAAATCAAGGCGGATATTAGTTTTAAGCCCTGGCTTTAAAACTAGTGGTTGTTCTGTGGAGTCAGTGTCAGGTCAAAGAGAGGTCAGTAAGATATATCTCATCTAGGCATTACCCGGTGCACCATCTGCCCATGTTAAATCACAATGATAAGTAGGATATGTACTTGTGCACCACTAATTCTCCTTTGGCCAGAATTTCATGTCATCTCATGGTCATTACAATTGTCCAATTACAGTTGATCAAATTGAATTATCTTTAATTAGTAGGCCTGTCTCATAGTACAGTGGGGTAGTTGGACATATTTATCTGTTTAAGTGGTCTGTCATCAGACTTAGAAAGCCAAACGTCATGTTTGAAAAGAAAAAAAAAAAACGGGGCAAAGGGGAAGGCAGGAGGCTGGGTATATTTTACATATGTTAAAGTGAAAGAATAACTCCAATATATAGTCTTATAATACATTTAATAAAAGTTTGCTATGGTCTTTAAGATCTTTGGAGGAAAGTAAAATTAGTTATGCAATGTATGATGTTTATTTATCTCTGTAGAAATGACATACCGAGGATAGTAAAACAAAAATTCTATTGTCCTTGTAATGGGAAGACATAGCTCATTCCAAACAACCCATTCATAACACATTTAGGTCTTTATGAAGATTTATAATATCATTGTGTAATCCCCAGCCAGAATATTTTCTGTCTTGCTGCAAACTCCACACACCATTACAGAATTTTAATGGATTCACACTGACTCCTGTTCAGATTGATTCTTGAGAGGCAAATGGGTGAGAACAGGGCGCAAGCATTTCCTAAAGATGGCAGTGGGCCTTTGAGCAATGATATCTGCCTGAAAGACTAGAGAAGCATCCATGGTTAGATAAGACTGGAGAGAGTCAAACTTATCACTTCTTGACATTCTCATTTGGGGGTGATAGTATTGCCATATCGCATCAAGTCCTATCGTATAGCCATGCATCATGGTGACACCAGACAAATATGAAATTCTCTAGGGCTTTATTTGACCTAGAAGTTCTTTCAGGCATTATTTCTTGATCCCAGCATAAAAAATGAGAGAAAGGGAGAGAGAGAGACAGAGAGACAGACAGAGAGAGAGAGAAGAGAGGAGAGAGCAGAGAGGAGAAGAGATCCGGTTGATACTCTGTCCTTGTTCCCACTGAGTATCAAATGATGATCTATTTGCCTCAATTTTCCTGTTTTAGATATTGATCTTAATTTCTGGATTCTTTTTCAGGAACAAAGATCATTAATGCCATTGTTATTTCTAACCAACAATTCAAGTCTTCTTTTTTTTCTTGGCAAATTTCCTTACCACCTCAAAACCAACACTAAAGCTAACCTTAAAGGAATAATTTAAGTTTCTGGATCATTGCTGGACTAAATATTATTCTTAGGGCATGTTATTCAGCTCCTGCATGTCTCTTTCCTTCCATATATGCACTCACCCAACCATTCATTCATCCATCCCAAAAATGTATATTTATTATAAGTCTGCTATATACTGGGCATATTGCATGCTAGGTGCTTGGGGAAGAAAAACAAAGGTCAATAGCAATCCAGGGCCTGCCCTTTGAACTTACACATATGGGCCATTATTACTAGGCAAAGGTATTTTGAAGCCTATGTTGCCAGGCAATTTACTTATAGCAACCCCTTGTGCAGAATTTGGAAAATAACCCTTTTATGGAAATACATAGGAAGAGTAGATCCTACTCCTTCCTTTCAGGGCTTTAATACATAGCAATGATTTGTCCAGGGAGTTCTAGTGTTGAAATGTAGAATGCGTTATGATCCCAGCCTTTGAAATAAGAATTTTGCCAATTCAGTTAGAAATGATGTCTACACTACTCTAGCAGTGTGAAGGTGGATCTCATGGTCATTAAATAAAATCATTATATCTTGGGACTATATCATTGTTGTCTGGTGCTGCATAGATGGCAGCTTATATCCCAATCAAACCAAAATTGTTCCCTCAGGGATATGTGATAAGGATAGACATTTTGGCAACAAATATGGAAAGTTTCAAACACAATAAAAATTCTAAATGCTCTAGTAATTAGACTTTCTCTTTACTAAAAATACTATGGATGGCGTCTGCAATCATACTAAAATTTTAAAACAATCATGTCCTCTCTGGAAGGCAATTGCTTTAAATTGGATAGATTTCACTCATTTTCCAGTGAAAGAATTTGAAAATTCTGTCTGTGGAAAGCAAAATACTGGATGGCAGAGTTGGATGTGTCTTTCACTTTAAAATGCAGACTCTCTCTGTGGTGAATGTATTTGTTGTGGTAAAGTATTTGAAAGGAAATCCTCAGAATAATTTGGGGTAAGGAAAAAAACTATGTTAAAATAAGCCAACCCATCAGTTTTGAACTTTGAAAATTGCTTTATTTTGAATCAGAAAAAATTAATAATCATTCATAGCACAAAAATATATGTTTGAATTATAACATATAATCATCATCTAAAACAAATTAAACCTCCAAATTTTAAAGGACTATATAGTATAATGCTGTGATCTCAGTGATTTTCCTAAATAAGTTAATGTTGTTTAGAGTTAATGTTGACGCTCTTACGTAGCTACCTCATGATTTGTTCTGTGTCTTGGCAAATACCTCTCTAGATTAAGTGATTCCTGTACATGTTGGAAATTTCTTTACAGGTTAACTTTCCCATCATCTTAAATTGCCCGTCCTGTATTGTTTCAGCCTAGAAGGGTCCTACTAGTCTGATAAGAAGCTCTCTTTCCTGAGGTCTGTATTTTGTGTAGGGCTCATCTAGGAGAGGGAAAAGCCAGAATGCCAAATTGCAAAGAGTATTCTTTGCTGTGGGGCTCCATCCAAAAAGGGCTTGTAACACAGTGTACAGTCTTGTAGCCCAGCTGTGTGGAGCATTGATTGCTTCTGCCTAGAGCAGGGATACTGTCAAGTTGCTCTGTGAGTTGAGTCATCTATTGACAAAGAGCTACCAGCCCGCAGATAATGCTGTGCGGAGCTGCTCTCGCTGCTCCCACGATGCACCGCCTATAGCAGCTGTCAAAGATACTGAGGGATCCACGGGAGGAAAAAAAAAAAAAAAAAAAGACTTTTACAACTGCCTGGAAGAAAGGGGTGTGAGGGAGGAGACCTTCCTGTGCAGAGCTGACCAAAGGAAAGAGTAGGCACCAGTGCAGTATGAACGCATACCTCACCAAGCAACACAGCTGCAGCCGGGGGTCCGATGGGATGGATGCCGGCAGGAGCGCACCCACACTCCTCAGGGATGCCCACTGCGCCTGTGGCTGGCAGAGGAGCCCTCAGGGGCTTGGGTACAATTCTCAGACCATGCCCTCTTCAGGACCTGGGGGCCCAGCTTCAAACAGGACCAAGCTGGTCACTTTGTGGGACAGTGTGCGGAAAAGCCCCCACAAGACGAGCACCACCAAGGGCAAAGGGACTTGTGGGGAGCGTTGCGCCTGCGCACATGGTTGGTTCAGCCCAACACAGGTGAGCCTCTTCCTTATGACTTTCCCTTCAATGTCGGGGGAAACTGAGAGCAAGTCGTGTAAGGGTAGCATGGTTTGGAAACTTTGCTGGGTCCTCCTTGCTGGTTGGGTGCGCCTGTTTGGGAAACGGTAGGCCTGGAGGACCTGTCATTTTCACAGGTGTTTGGAGCTCGCACCTCTGGGCGGTCTGTGAAAGTCCGAAGATGCTGTGCTCAGTTTCCCTCAGTGACTTTTCCCCAAGTTCAACTTCTCTGGTCCTCAGATGCTTTTACTATGCTGTAACGTAGGCTTTTAGCAGCACTTCAACTTCGAATCATTAACTTTTTTTGTCCTGCCTTGCCTCTTTTCATTTCTTTGAGGGAGAGAAAAAATGAACTTTAATCAGATACTTTCCAACTCTTTAATCATAAAAGGGCATTTATTTCTACATATGGAAAGTAGGGATTTGGTGTGTGCTATTCTAATTTTACTCTTATAATACTGTATACCTTTTCAGTAATAGGGAAGAAATTTTGTTTATGCTAAATAATTCATTTTATAAACAAAAGGAATAATTGGGAGCAAACTAGAGGATGATTACACTTAGAATAAAATAATGAAACATTTTATTTATTCATAGAGAAGCAATAGTTATTTATATTAAAAACTATAACTCTCTTCTTCCATAATGTATTTCTGAAGCAGATGTGCAGATTCCCTTAATTTAATTTCTAGCTTATTCTTGCCCCAAACTACTGGCATTTTATCAGAAATGAAATTGGCTCATTTTTTTTTTCCTGCCCTCATCCAGAAGAGGGAAGACAACTTCCTGTAAACACTGTAAATTTTAAATAAAGTGCACCTGTAATCACTGTCATAAATGTAGAACAGTAATAGTTCTTAAATATCCATTGAAAAAGAAAAGCTGTGTGCAGAAAAAAGAAAAATCCCTTCCTGATTTGAATGAAATCTTAGCAGAAGTGAGAAATGGCTATTGATCAGGAGTGAAACATTATGATCTGAGAGAGAGGTGTAGAGAACATTCTAGTTTTAAAATTAGTTTTTTAAAATGAACTTCCAAGAATATCATATATCACTTAACCTTAATGATACAGTTGCATATATGTGATGAATTAATATCATGCATCTCAGTACCTTGATTTAAATAAAGAATATATTGTCATTTTAGTATTAAACTGGTTCAGCTTGAAAATGAGCCTGATATTTGGAACCTTGGTTATTTTTTAAAGTTAATGTGAATTCTAAACTGAAAAAAACAGTCATGACAATTTTGAAGTCTTTATATATTCTTTTACAAACTCATGCATTTAAATGTCTTTAAAGCATTTCTCTGTGTCGATTATGTTAGATTCTCAAGGCTCTCATAGGCAAAGAAGACAAACACACATCTAGCTCATAGTTTTTGCAGAGTAGAATAAACCAACTTGCTTTACAGTAGGTAAGGAAACTTGTTTTATTGTCACAATTCTTTTTATCCAAGATGTAAAAAGATTTGCATTTCACAAATGACAATTTCTCAAACCAAAATCTCTAATTGTACATTATAATAACCATGCTCTCAAAATCTTTGTACATTTTTCATCAGTCAAGAGAAACTTTTCCCTTCCTTGGTTTTTAACAAAGTCAGCCTCCTACTTGTCTTAAATTTATAGCCATTTAATGCTTTAAAGGATTGAAATAGACTCTCTGTACTGATAATTAAAGATCCAGTGACATATTAGAAGGCAATAAATTGAGACAGCCACCATCTCCCATTCTTTTTCGTACACATTTTATATATTTTCTCTCTTATTCACATGTACTTTATTGTTGGCTAGGGAGAACAATGATCCCCAAATATTGGCATTACAATACCATATCTTTTACTGTCTTTAGTGTTGTGACACCTGACCCTTCCAACCTTTTACCGCCTGAATCCTGTGAAAGTGCTTTGCATAGATTTTAATATATGTATTTAAATATCTCTATAATACCTAAATACTTGTACATATTAACATAATTTCATGTATATATAAGTATATGCATAAATACATGTAGGCATGCATATACATATAAAAATTAAAGTTCTATATTATTCTTTTCTCATCCAGAAAGTACTATCTTGTTCTTCCAAAGGATGTTTTATTTTCTCCATAGAAAATATATTTCCTTTACTTCTTATAAGTGTTCTAAAATGCTTATGTATGTGTGTATATCTATCTGAATACATGTATATATATGTGTGTGTGTGTGTGTTCATTTATATATGCATCTACAGAATAAGCCTAATATTTAAAATACACAGGTATTTTAGGTATATAGGTACTATACACCCATATATACTATCACAAAAATAAGACACTATGTGTGTCTAGATGTATGTAGATGTGTCAATTAAAAGCTAAGTCTGTTTTGAGAATTTTGTGATACTATTCTTACCTCTTAAATTAACTAGAGGTACCCTGTGAAATATTGTGAAATGAAGTATGGAGGTTAATGTTACTAAATACTTAACTTTAGAATTTTTGATAAAGTGGAAAGGAGGAGAGTGCATGCTGTAGAATGGCTTAGGGACCCACATGTGGTACAGAACGTGCCTGAGGGCTATTAAGTGTCTGGGATCTGGGATCATGCCCTCAAAGATATTTGCTGTATTACGTGGAAATCAGCAGTGTGATTTCCGGCTGCTGTAATAGAGGGCCATGGTAATGACTTGAGTTCCTCCCAAGGCTCTTTGCCAAACTCCTGTTATTTGGGGTGCTGTGTGCTAACAGGACACTGTCATTATGTTGTTCCTCAGCAAGACTAAAAAACAGCTTCTGTCCTTTCTCAAATAAGTTTTCATTCTGTTTGGATCTGTAGAATTAATATAACCATAATAATAGGTAAGAAAATGGAAAATTATAGTGTCCAGAAGTGAGTTCTAGAATGCACATCTAGGATAATACTGTTGGCCTTGGGTGGATGGGTGGGTGGGGGAAGAATATCCATCATTGCTTATGTGGCATTTCTCCCCAGCGTAGACTGATCTGGGGAGGCAGCACAGAACAGTGGAGATTCAAAGACCAGAGTTCTATGCATTTGTACTTTATTCATTCATTCTTCATTTGTTCATTCAGCTGTGCTTACCATGTGGTGCTCTGTCAGGCCTGTGGATATAATAGTAAACAAAGGAAACACTATCTCTACCTTGTGGAACTTATGGCCTGCGATGGTATATAATATTTAGTAAATAATGTATCATTATATACAGAATTATATCATCATAAATCACAAATTGGAAGTGAAACAAGTTTCATGGAGTTCTGCAAAGTCCATAGTAGATAGATATTCAGGATACAGAGGAACCATGGGGGAGTAAAAAAGCAGGATTTTTTAATGTATTTATTTCTTTAATTTTATTTTTATTAAAAGGTACTGCATCTCTTTAAGCCTAGATTTCTGTTTTATAAAATGATCATAAAAATAGTACCTAACTCAGGATTATAGCGTGGGTTGATTAACATAATAAGTTTAAGGCACTGTTCCTTAATTCATCATATCTGACTGGTTAGGAAGAGAAAAATAAGCGAATTGATGAAGACCTCGAGGTAGTGATCCTTGGGCTGAATTGAATTGAACCTTGAAGTAACATGCTTCTGTTTATCAAGTGAGCAAAGAGAGATAAGCTTTGGAGGTAAAATAACAAAAAATAGAAATACCTATAAAACTTTGGCTGGTGTGTGGGACTGCTCGGAGTTCTGTTTGCCCGGAACATTGGGCACTAGAAAATAGGTTCATCGAGAGCTGGGACTGAAGACATGGGGAGGGCTTGGTCACAAAGAGTCTTATGGGCTTTGATGAGGACTCAACTAAGCTGGCAGCATGGAGTCAGTCACTGAAGAATTCCCACCTGCTCTGCCACTGTCCATGTGTTTGGCTTTGTGGTCAGTGAATCATTCTGGGCCTCAGTTTCTCTGTTTCTAAGAAAACTGATTCCCTAAATGAACTCCCATATTTCTTCCAATACTACTATTCTGTGACTCTGTCAACTGACACTCATTAGTTAATGGGAAGCCTTTGGAAAAGATTTATACTTCAAAAGCCAGACAATCTAAATCCGAACTTGGTAGTTCTGTGTGACTTCACTTCCTTAACCTCTGTAAGATTCATTTGTCTTCTCTGTAAAATTTAGGATGATAAAATTATATTATGTGAAAATGTAATAAGAATTGAAAGTACTGTATATAAAAGAGCCCAGCATGGTGCTTCATACATAAGAATTATTCAATAAGTGGTATTTATTATTACTAATGATACCCAAATTATGCTTTTTTAACCTAGAGAACTGAGCATCCAACAAATTAATTATCAGAATTGTGGTCCTTTATTAGGATTTCTGCTTTGTTCACTGAATTTTTTGATGTCTTACTTATTAATGATGAAGGAGTTAGGTTAGGCAACTGTCCAGAAACATTTGGCACAGTACCACATGATGACGAGATGACATTTTGCCCTTCAGTGTTCTCAGAGATTTACAACAATGCACAGACACACACACACACACACACTATAGTTGTGTGTGTGTCTATATATACACATATATAAAAATGCATATATATACATATATAAAATACATATATATGTGTATATATATATAAAGAGAGAGAGAGAATAGAATTGTATTGATGAAGTAGCATTCTCATTTACTTATATTCAAAAGTAGGTGATACTAGATTTTCTCAGCAATATGCTGCTAGAACAACAGCATTTGAAGCATTTAGCCAAACTTTGTGAATCTTCCCTAAGGGTCTCTTTGCAGCTCCTCCAGAAACAGCAGTTTGCAGCAATTTGAGTGCAGAGAACCTTTTTGTCCAAGTACTGTTGCCCCAGGCTGAAGTCTCAGGCTTAGATTATGCCCAGCCAGAAAGATCTACAGCTGGTTTTAACTCTGCAACTGCTTCTACTGACTCTTTCCAGAAAGAGAGCCCCTTACCAAGGAAAAATAAGACTTTTTAGTCTCTAGGAAACACCAGCTGCCCC